TTGAAACCTGGCAGGCCCTGCAGGAGGAAATAACTCACATCCAGTTTAATTTAAATCGTTAAAATACGTTTCTGGCTCGTATAAAGGCTGCTTGGTAGATTTTGCCTTTTCTCCCTGTCTACTCTCCTCCCCATCCCCAGAACTCAAGAATCATAAAACTGAGAGAGGAGAAAAAAAATGCATTTCTGAGCAAATAATCAGTTCCAGGTTTTAGTAGGCAAAGCGTGACTCATACTGCTATCGATACGGCGCGGTGGAGGGGCAGTGTCTTTGTGAAAAAGAATGTTAAAAGTTTCAAGGCTGTCCGGTGTCGGGGTGCACTGGTGTGAAGCCGGCTTCGTTTAGCCCCAGCGCTCGCCTGCAGTTTGGTGGGGGCTTCGTCTAGGGCCAAGGCAGCGGCGCCTGCTCCCCGTCCCCGTGCCCGGCCGAGGAGCGGGCAAGGAGGGGCCCCCGCTCCCTCATGGCTCCACAAACGCCTCCTCCTCCTCCCCTTGCTCCAACTTGGACAGCAGAAAAGAAACCCGTGCTCTGGGCAGCGGAGTGAAAACCTTGAAGGGCGAGCACACCGAAAACTTAAAACAAATGATCCACTTCCTCTTGTGTTTGCTCTAGTCGCAGGACCTGGACTTTGAACTGGCGGCTGATCCTTTTCCCCTCCTTCACTCTTCAAGAACAGCCAAAATAACCAACCGGGAGAAACGCCCACAGGCTCCAGTTATTCCAGATTTCTTTTTTTAATTATTATTATTTATTTAATGAGAGCAGTCAGGTTCCTCGAACTTCCTTCTCTTTCTAGTTTTTTTTTCTTTTTTTTTCCTTTTTCTGCCTGGCCAGAAGTGTGGAGTAACCAGCAGAGAGAGACCAGTCTATTATTTTCTGCAGTTGTTTACTTATTCTGTAGATGGTGCTTGTTCCCAGGGCTCTGAACCTCTCTATAATTAAACCCGTTTTAATTGTGAGGTTGGAAACGTCATTTCAGGGACTTTCCAAGACTCACTGAGGAAGCCAGCTGAGATAACCCTTTCGCTGCTGAGCTGCTCCGAGCCTGTGTTTTTTCCTGGTGGTTCCTGCCCTGGGGCTGGATGCGGTGCAAGGCGAGAGCCCCGCGCGGGTTTGCGCGGGAGCGGGCGCGCGGGACAGGCGGGCTCCTGCGCACGCCGCGCACTTGCTGCACTTTGCATTATTCACGTGCCCTCTACGCGTTTGTTTTGGAAACTTCGGGTTTACGGTTGCGCATTTCTACGTATTGAGCACCAAATGTTGAGCCTGAGAAGGATTTTTTTTTCTTTTCTTTTCCCAGCGATTTGGCTTGTCAAAACCTGACTGCATGGTGGTCTGCTTTGCATTTGCTCGCACATGCTCAGATCAGGAATTTAGCTGCTCGCCCCACCTCGTGGCTAAAAGTCAGAGCCCTCCAGGCCCAAGTGGGAATTTGTGTGGGCATGAATTCACACCAGTCCCAGAATGAAAAATCTGATCCTTCCTCCTCCTGTCAGAGCTGTGCGAGACCTTTAATACGAATAAATGCAAATGAATAAAGATAGGAACATGAATAAATGAAGGGGAATGAATAAAGAGAGTTGCTGGAAAGGTGAATAAATGCATAACAGGCTTGTTTGAATGCTGTTTCACACTCTCTAGATGCCTAGTGCAGATCCAGCGTGTTCTGCTTGGGATGACACAGCTGAACCCAGGAACCAGTGGTAAAGTGCCAGGACTTCCTGAGCTCTTCCTGAGCCCATTTTCCGCTCAGGAATTGCCTCTGGAGCTCCCTGATTCAGTGCGAGCAGATGTTAAACTCATCTGGAAGCACACAAGAATCAGATTCGTAACCGAATCCACACACACCTTTAGCACAGCAATTAAGAACCGCCTTCCCAGGGCAGACCTGGCATGGACGAGAATGGCCAAAAAGATCCAGAGGGAACTGGCCACGGGATGGCAAGTGAAACGTAAAGCCTGGAGGTTTAAAATTAAAGGAGGTACTTTCCCAAACAGTGTGTACAAAAAATAGCGGGCTCATCATGTCATGATGCTGTGGAGGTCAAATTATAAATGGAGTCCAAAAAGCAAAGTGATATATTTATGGAAGAAAAGTCCCTGGATGTTTAATAAAGCCAAAGGAAAACCTCAAATGCAATGTTGGTGGACAATGCACAGGAAAAAATACCGCTCTGTGATTCCCCCCTTTTCGCCCAAAGTATGTGCTGCTATAGGCTGCTCTTGGATCCAAGCCAAAGCAGACCTTCGTTCTGACCTGGTATGGTTATTTTTATGCAGTTGTGTTCTATTTTTATGGCTTACGCTCCGTGTAATCCTGATGGACTGCTTTGGAGAGTGGATTATGCGGGGAGCCCACGTAGCTCCGCACAAGCTGATAGGGGATAATCTGATCCCTCGCTCCTGCCGCGGCTAGAAGGGCTGGCCGTCTCGCAGGGCTGGCCATGCTCCGCACCCAGCTTAGCTCCAGTCAGTGTAATAAGAGGTTGTTCTGCCCACCAAGTATGAACCAAATCGAAGTGCCAGCTCTGCCACAAGCATCATCAGAGATGTTACAGCTCCCGCAAAAGCAGAAGAGTATCGCTATTTAAGATACCTCTGCTTTTAAGATACCTCTGCTTTTCTTCACCCTGAGCCAGTCGTGACCTTGGAGGTCTGGTCACTAGAGTCCGAGTGACTGGAAAAAGAATGCAAGTACGCACACACACCAAGAAAGTCTGAATTGTTAAAAACAAGGGGGGTTTGTTCGTTTGCTTGCTTTCGGTTTCCAAAGTTTTACACTGGGAAAGGGAACTACTAAAATCACATGAGAAAATTCCCCCTGTGCGTGCAGGGTGACTTAGGCATTTTGTTCTCGCTGCCTCCTTGGGAATCTGCAGGTAGATGGGAGTATTTGCTGCCCCAGTGCTCTAGTACACAAAGGCTGGTGGTAGCAGAAGCCTTTATTTCTGCTGGGGGTGTAAAATGAGCCGACACTCTCTGCAGGAGCTATTCATATCTTTGGGGTCAGGTGCTATTTTTGCTGGCTGTGCCGCCGAAGGTGGAGGTGGAGGTGTAGAAAGTGCCTCTCTTCTGGGCTCCATGGGCACATGTAGATACTTCCTCCGTCACCGGCACCTCCACAGACGCCGTGGCCTTTGAGGGCGAGTGGGCGGCTGTCAGCGCTGCTGCTCTCCGCTCACTCTATCTCTTGTCCCTAACATTTTAGTCCCTTCATTGTATTTTGCCCTCGCGCTCCTTCTGCAGGGCATCTCCGGGAGGTGCAAATGGCTGGTGCTGGAAACCGCAGCTTGTAGGTGCACCCTGCGCCAGGCATTTCTGGCGCCCGAGGAAGTGTGGCTCCTCCTGGTCCCAAGCAAAAGGGGTTTTACCAGCTGCTTGGAAAGAAAACACGCTCAGGGAGATACAGGAAAGTGCATTAAGGTGGTGGGAAGCAGGAGTGAGATTCCTGGCAGCTCGGGTGTGTAAACATTCATGAAACGGAGAGTGTGTGCGTGTGTGTACCTTGTGGCTGCAGGAAACCCAAGGAGCTCGCTCCGTTATTTTTGCTGGAATCAGTGACTGCCGTGCCAGATAAATATTATGAGCCCTTAATCCTCCTGACTTTACACCTGTGAATGACTTCAAGGCCATCCAGGGTGAGCTAAATTAGGGGACTCCTCTACTAATTAGCGATGGGGCTCGGGATCTGATGGGGCTGTTCACAGGGGCGCTTTCTGTGTCCCCGTGGCGCAGATCCCAGGCTGCCTTTTGGCCGGATGAGGGGATGGCAGGACGGGAGGGGGAGGTAGCATGCGGCCGCTCCAAAGGGTCACGGGGATGTGACTCGCCTGTCACCGATTTAGCACTCGTGGCACTGACAAGGTAGCACAGTGGAAAAAGCAGAGGTGTCCTGTTAGCAGACGCAGCCTAAGGAAATTGGCTGGGCTAGGTGGACCTCAGTTATAATTTCCAGTGGAAATATTAATGCAATTAATATGCTCCCACGTAACAGGACTGGGAGCCCATGCTCGCGCTCAGCGGCTTGTCGTGGCCCTGGCCGGGATGGGCTCTGGCGGGCTCTGCGCCTGCCGAGATAGGGACATCGAGTGTCCACAGGCCCCGTGAGCACCGGGGCCTGTGGGGCAATGGGGACAGCAGAAACTGCAGAGGGGCTGGCAGCCGCTGCAGCAATTGCTCTTGTGTTATGTAAAACAGATAGTTCCAGGCATGGGGCACAAGAACAACAATGAAGACAAATTCAAAACACAAATTCAAGACTTTCTTTCAAACCCTACTGCCATGCTCCCCAGCACCTAGCACTAGCGTGATGGTGCCATCACACAGTGTCAGGTAGAGCATGCGCCAATTTCCAGCTAGAGCAGCCCTGGCTGCTGATTTATTTGACAGACGGCAACTGGCAGAATGTTTCCATGTTTTTTTTTTTTTTTTGACTCCCGAAGGAATGTGCTAGGGAGATCTAAATGTTTTCACTATTTAATTTTTTTTTTTTTAAGGAGAAACTTTAAAACTGCTCAGGAGCCCGTAGGACCTTTGCAGTCGTCAGACGTGCAGAGCTGGTGGCTCAGAGGGCTGCTGGTGGCCGTCACCTCCACGGAGCCCAGCTATGGTCTCCGCAGAGCTCCGCCGTCCGGCCTCCTTCCCTAACAGCTCCGGGACGTGTTTGCACCGGGGAGGCAGCTTGCTTTCCAGCCTATCCCATCCCATCAAAACATACTTAGCACCAGGCAGAGAGCCAAGGTCAAACCTCCTTTCCTTTCATTCGCTTGACTTCTGTGAATAGGTTATGATACTGTCTTCAGCTCCACTGTTATGTCTTCTCCCACAAGACCGTTGCCTCATTTAGACCGCAGCGGGGAACGTGCTCTACCCATCTGCACCAGCTGGGCCCTGCCAGGGCACCCCGTGCGTGGGGAGGATGACCACGCAAGTGGCGGTAGAGTCCTGGACGTGGAGGAGCGTGGGGCTTGGTCAGATCCAAATCTGGAGGGATTTCCAGGAAGCCTTTCCCACCGCCTCCTTTGTTGGGGCAGGATGTCAGTGTGGATGGGTTCCTCTCACCTGGATTTAGATGCTTAGAAGTTAGGTGTCCAAACCTCATTAGGCAGACAGGCCTCCTCTGCAGTCAATGGGGACAAATGGGCACCCCCAGCACCTGATTCATCTCAACTATCTCCAACATTTATCTCTGGAGCCAAGTGCCTGCTTCCCTCCTCTCACTGCAGATGGGCAGCTTGCTCAGGGCTCCATCACTGGGACTTCACTGGGACTTTGGGCATCCCACATGAGCAAGGTGAACCCCCCCACTCCCCAGCTGTGGCCCTGGGCCCTGGGCCCTGGGAAGCAGAAAAACCCGCTGTGCTCTGGCCTGGCACCCCCCACCCCACATCCCCTCAAGGGTCCTCCGGAGCAGGGCTGGGTTGGGGCGAGTAATCTGTCCAGATCACATTATCGGGCCATATCGCATTATCAGACCAAGTTAAATATTTATAAGGCACCTGGGGGCAGGGTCCATGGCTTGAGATGAGCTTGCCCGTCGCCTCCCAGGGAGAGGTGGCAGCACCGGTTGCAGCCTTGGCGGGCTCGTGAATCGCCATGCGGATCCGCCGCTCCTGACGAAACGCAGCTGGGAACGCAAAGGGAGCTTGCGGACATTGAGAAATAGGCATGGGTGAATCATAAGAGTCAGGAGAAGCTACTAACGTGTGGGAAAAAGGCAAATGTGCTACCTCTGCATAAACATATAATAAGGAAGTATGTAATAATAATTATTGTTATTGTAATACGGTCTGGGTGAGCATTTGGGAAAAAGATATCTAATAACTGACAAGCAACGTGGCTCGGTTTGTTTTGATCTGAAATTCAAACAATAGTTATGTTTATAAGGTAATAATACACAGGGCACAGAGCACTGGCACAGTACCAACTATGCGCTCCACAATTCAGGTTTATATAGGTCATGCCAAACAAATAATAGTGTTCTTCAATATAATTACTGATTCATTAAGGAGAGCGAAGGTAATTGAGTCTGCTTGGATTTCAGGGAGGTGTTAGATATGGTAAATTTATACATTTGAGCTTGGATTTTGAACGTATTGCACACTCAGGTAACTCTGCTCCTCCGGAAGTCTGTGGTAAAACTGCTGAGGCCTTCCCCAGGCAGCCCAAGAAACCTCCCCTTTAGCTCTGATAGTCGATGTGCTCCTGTGGTGCCATGACGCGTCTCCCTGAGCCCTT